TCCACAGTCCGACTCTGAAAAGTATCACGCCAACGATAAACTCAGGACAAGTTGAGTTCCTCTAGGTTTTCCTGCCAATATGACTGTGTTGCGCAAACAAGTTCAAGCAACTATTATGCAACAAAGGGTAACCGTGACAATACCAAATGCTACGCTATCTGGAGCTTCACGCCTTAGATTCTTATTAGATATATGTATTTGATATAATTTTATTAATGACATTATTATTAACTATATTAGCTGTATCACTCAAAATTCTACTAACCTATGAAAAAATTATTCGTAAGCTACTTTTTTCTAACTTAAGTTTTAATTTTTATTCATAAACAAAATTAAATTAATTTTTACGGGCTTTTTACTATACATTTTGATATTTTTATAAGTGTTGTTACTATTTTCTTTATTCATTTTATTTTTATGCCCGCTCATTACGGATTTTGCGTTTGTTGATTATCATACCCTAGCTACTCCCGCCCTATCAAAACTATAAAATGTCTGCTCCACCACCACCACCTCCCCCCCCTCCTCCACCTCCTCCTCCACCTCCACCTAATAGTTCTAGTTCTCTAGGCAGTAATGCCTTTTTGTCAGATATTCGCAAAGGAGCCTGTCTAAAAAAAGTGTCCGATACAGAGAAAAAAGATAGAAGCTCTCCATTTTGTGGTAGGTATAATTGTATATTTTATGCAAATATCTATGCTTTAGAGTAGTTTTTCGTTTATTTATAAATTAAATACACATTTAAAAAATATTTTATCACTATTTATCCAGAATTCTCATTAGCATATTTTATTTTCGTTTATCAGCAGGGAGCTTTAAAATTATCCCATTCGTCTGCCCCGAAATTATTATATAATTATAAATTGAGTCGGCTTTTTGTTTTATTTTTAAATAAATTTACAGTACCGACTTCTAATAATACTGATAATGTCAGTGGAACTACCGCAGATTCATCCAACTTTCAGCCTTCGGGAGGCCCCCCGATCGGTCTTGGTGGTCTTTTTGCTAATGGAATGCCAAAACTTAAGCCGACTGGTGCTCGAACCGGCCAAAATACAGCTATGAGTAACTCAGATGCCCCTCATATCGCAACGAATAGGCCTTATCAACCACCTAAACAGCCCATTTCACGGATTTCTAGAGTGGGCAGCACTACTTCCCATAAGCCGCCACCTCCTGCCCCGCCTATTGGAGCTCCGGTAGGCCTTGTTCTTCAAAGCAAATTAACTTCTATTTTGCGTTTAAGTTAATTTTATCAGCTGCATTCAATCAAATATTATATGAAATGCTTGCCCTCAGTCGATAATTCATATTTAAATGTATGCATCAAAGTTTGTTCAAGATGACAACGTTTCATCTAATCAATAACTAGGTGCATAAATCATGATGCTTTTATTGCACAGTGCTCATTTTACCAAACCGCCTGACTCCTATATGTATTTACTCCCAATCCTAAGCATAACTCACTTGACTGAAGCATTTCCAGACAATAATAGCGAATAGAGTTTATTTTGCTTCCAGAGTCAGCCCTCTCAGCTTTGCCCTAATTTGCATGTCACTATGCCAATTCCTATGCTTTTTTGTAACCTAGCTGGTCTTCATTTCTATGGAATTTTATTTTCAAGATAAAGACTGTATGTATAAATATTCGTGTGCACTTATATTAATTGCATACAGCAATACAATTACATTATAAAAACTTTAGCTCCTCTATACTGCTTAAACTAATTCAAGGACTGATTGCGCAATTTTTCACAATGAATTAAGTAGACTCCATACATATCCTTGCGGAAAATATTATTGTTTTGTTGTAACTTGATTTTATTTGTAGTGTATCCAGCTAATTAATATGGACTTTCCTCTAATAATCACCCATAGGCATGTCTTTAAGGCCTTATTCCATTGTTAGGCTTTATTTTACGTAGATATATTGCTTAGGCTTGAAGCCAATTAAAAATCCTTCATTGATTTGAAGCTTTCATAAGCACGGCATAACCTATATACTCAAGTTGTGTATTTATATCCCTCTCTTTTTAAGAAACTTAATATTTCTGATTTCTTTCGCATTTGAAATCTACTTCTACAGTGGGGCTAATTGTCTTGATTATTTAGCTAACAGCTAAAGTTTCTTGTCTAGGTAAAATTTCCTAAATCGTAAGCATAAAAACCAAGGTGGTGTGGCTTTTAGCATGGTCGCAGGCTCCTCTCATTGGAGACTGACCTTGTTTTCTTAACTTGGTCATATTGGCAGGAAGACCTAGAGCAACGCACCTTACCTGGAGCAAATAGTATGCGTGATAATTTCCAGTCGGATCATGGACTTGGTTCATTCCCAGACGCTTCGTCTTCCGAAGTATTGTTCTATACATCTTTAGAATTTAACCTCTTAGTGTACTTTGCTGATATTAAATTCCATTAATTGCTTGAAGGACACGTTTTTCTATCAGGTTCTCCTTCATAATGCTTTACTCTGAAAAAACCACGTAATTTGTACTTATGAAGTCTTTGATTTCTCTCTCAATCAGGGTCCTCGGTCTAATTTTAACAAAATGGCTCCGCCTGCACCTTCACAACGCAGAGGCTCTGAACTAACTGAAGTGGTGAGCGTTTGATCAAAATTAAATGATGGACTGCTGTGTCCTTACATTTTCCTTTCCTTAAACGATTTGGACACTTACTATAGGTATAGGTAGGAATAAAAGATTGTTTTATCCTTTTGTTACAATGAATCATCTTACTTGCACAGACTTTTTACTTTTGTTTACTCTACTTGGTCATGATTATTTGAAGACTGGGAGGCACTCGCAAACGTTCTTCTTTGCTCATAAATAGCATCCTGGTTAAACTGCGAAAATCGCATTTGAATTGAAAGACAATGTAGTGTGAACGGCTGACCTGCGTCTCAATCTAATATGGCCTTTACAACAAAATTGTTTCCACTAAATATATATTTTAAGAGCAATTAATGACAGTAAGATATCTATTAATAATAAGGCTTTGACGATTGCCCTACCTTTAGGCGTCAAATAGCATTGTAATGGAGTTTCAGTCTTAACGATTAAACTATTTTATCAGCCCTACTAATAATCTTATTGTTTATGACTCCCTTTCACGTTTGCGTCGAAACGCTTGAAAATATATGTAAAAACTTTTATAAATGAGGCATAATTGAAAGCCCATTTCAAACCATATCTTTTTTCTAGTTAACTAGCATTTGTATAAATGCAGCCTAGCAAAACAGAAATACGTGTGAGCCACTTAGTTCTTTCACTTTTTATTACTCATTTTATGTCTCTTTCTGTTGCTTATAAGTTAGATGCCAAATGTTAATAGACTTAACTCATGAATCCGCAAAAGATTGTCTTGGAATGATCGGATCAAAACTATTCTAAGCACACTCCCAGCCTGATGAGCTCATGCCAATTTAGCTGCTCACTTATATGAGAAACAGGGCTTATACTAACAACTTTAACAGTAATCATATTATTAAGTTCGAATTCTTTGTATATTTGATGTATATGTTCTTAATATGGTTTTTCGTATACATGGAGGATACGGCGAATTTAAGGGCAAAATTATATTCTTTTATGCCACTCGTTAACTCT